ATGTTTTGACAGATTTTGAATAATTCATATCTTTCCAACTGTGAGAAACTCGGCGTCTCGATGGGATCCGAACCCATGGCGGAAAAGGGAAGGTTTTAGTGCAGCCAACGCTCTAGCCACCAGACGTAGTAGGATGGGCGGGCAACTTGATCCAGATGTGATTAAAATCACGGCTCCCAATGGGACCTCGTAGACCAGGTAGCTAGGGCGCGGACTTTACTAAAGCCTTCCCCTTGCTGTCATGGGTCCGCTTCTCACCGAGATCGCCTAGTTTTTCACAATTAAATCGCAGCGAAAGTCGTTGCTTCCGGACGGAGACAAGAGAATACTCAGGCTGTGCCCGGTTGGTGTTAACACGTGGCCTACGAGACAGCCGGTTCGTGGTTATTTCTGCTGGGCAACTTCGATTGCGGTTCAAATGCTTCCACAGGTGCCTTGAAGAGCTAAAAACTAATTGCTATCTAGTTCTGGATCGGGCGACAGTGTTTCAACGGTTACGAAACTGCAGATCGCTCATTTCAGCATCACAAGCGCCTCACAGGAGGAGCGTCTAAAGAGCAGGACCTGGCCGCTGTCCAGACAGCCGGTGACGGTGGGCAACCGAAAATCACCCATCGCTAGCCCTACTACCTATTAGCTTGACCGTCCTGGCTTTCCAACAAACTCCTACACAATCATCTTGATCTCGGTAAGAAATCTGTTCATGGTCTGTCAAACTGTGAAAAACGATGGCGCGTGTATGTTGTTCGAAAATGCTCGCAAACGCCACCAAAAACACCTCAACAAGTTGTTTAGATGTGGTTATGTACCCGCACCCACTTGTAATATGCAACCGGTGGTAATAGGGGGTTTTTACAAGTGGGGATATGGAGCGCACAGGCGACGAGGTCAAATAATTGTATTAAAAAGAAAAGCTATTGGGAATGCGCGGTTGTACTTGGAGTGGTTGGGAAATAGTTGCCCTAACCCTAACCCCTAGTCATAACCACTAACCTAACCCTAAACCCCAACGCAAACAGTATTGCGTCCATCAGGTGGGGCTACGTAAGCACATCTTGCCACCAAGTTTACCTTGGTCGTCTCGGTGAAGAGACATGTGTGTGTTCATACGACGTCCTACTCAAGCCACAGACCTTAGCATGATCAAAAAGTTGAAAGACTACTCCCAAAGAGGTTTCAAACATCAAAAAATGCCGGAAAAGTGAGGGTTACCATTTTTTCTCCCTGAGAGACAAAGTACCACAAAGAAGATCAGACTGTGACGCGTGTCTGATGCATTAAAGTACACCTGTCGAACGTTATTCTGTTTTGCCTACAGATTGCCGTGCAAGTATGATTCTTACACCGTGCCGACTCGCCTGCGCGCAAGAAGAAGCTCATGACGCATTTTCCGGCCTATTCTAAAATCAGTTCGGTCGAGATTATGCCTCAGTCGTCTAACCTTTCAGCTGGTGGCTTCTGTAGCATCATAAAAATAAAAAGAATTTGTGCAGAAAAAGACTTGAGGCAAGGGATCTGGTTGTGGAAGCTGCCTATGTCGAAATTAAAGGGCCCGAAAAACGCGATTGCTGGGTAGCCTGTGGCGCTTGTATCCATCGCGTCGAAATAAGTGTCATAGCGCTGATGGAAGCTACATTGAGGGTGAAGGAAAAATGAATGTTCATGAAGGAAGGAGCCCTAATTCTCCCTTCGAAAGATATTGGTTGAAGAGGTCGCTGTTAGGTTGGGAAATCCTCCACCGGCTTCTCTAGTACCAACTTCATTGGCCTAATCTGATTCAGTATGACACCCTGCTGCTCACCTGTACGTCAATCACCGTTTTCAACACTTAAAGTCTCTCTCCCATTTTTTGTAGCATTCTTTCATCCCATAAAATAATGCTCATTACTGCAACGGCCTTAAAGAGCTCAGCAGAAAGTCTGTTTTTAGTTTAGCTTACGTATGCTGTTATAGTATGATGAGACAATCATACAGTGAGTGATCGATCTCATGAAATGTTAACTGAGATTCTGAAATGCGTATCTGATTAGGAAGGATCATCTAGATGGGGTTGTAATACTGATTTCCTTGCGGAATAATCTTATAATTTTTCGGACTCGGCAGGATGTCAGCTTTTGAAGGCACTGCTTTTCCATCTCCTGTTGGAACCGTACTCAGTGAGAAATGACTACGTAAGTAGCATGCATCTTTCACACTGATTTTCGATGGTCCCATAAGTTCTTATATATTTTATAAAAACATGGATGAAACTATGCTTTTTTCACTCGTTTGGTAAAGAATCGCGTATATTTCATCTTTTTCATTCGAAGAAAAGTATAATTAGGTTTAAAAAGTTTTCTGATTTCAAAATAATTTGGAGCCTGATCGGCCGCTGCATTGGCGCTTAGTGATTTCAGTCTACAAGGTGCAGGCGATCCGCGTAAGAAGAACCATATATTCTCCAATGCCTTTGAAAAGATGCCACATTGAGTCCATAAAATTTTGCAATGGATGCGGGCTATGCTGTACATTTCTGAGAAGCAGTGGTAAACGCACAGGTACTATTCTATGTGAATGGACTTTGCAATGTCTTAAAAAATCCCATAATACGAAACCTTTTTTAAGACCTAATTATACTCCTTCTTCGAGGATACAATACAAAGATGACGTAATTTCCTATCAAACAACTGAAAAAAAGTCTATTTTGCCTATTTTTCTATAAGTTATATTTGAATTTGCAAGACCGTCGAAAACCAATGGGAAAATGCATGCTACTTAAGTAGCCATTTTTTACCGAGTGCGGTTTCTACAGGAGACGAAAGAGGGGTGCATTCAAAAGCTGACATCCTGCTGAGTCCGAAATATTATATGATTATGCCGCGAGAAAATCAGTATTAGAACCCTACCTAAGAAATCCTTCCTAAACGAAAACGCATTTCAGAATTTCAGCTAACATTTCACGACGTCGGTCACTCACTGTGTCACGCACGACTAACTGAATGAAGAAGACAGTCGGCCTTTAATTGCTCGGAAGTGGAGTGGCGACTGAAGTTGCGGGCTTCAGCTGACGGTTCTCACGTTCAGTCAGTTTATTGCAGCTGCGCTGTCACAACACGCTTGAGTGTCGCGTGGGAGCGGCATTAAGTGAGCTGTTTTGGTTGCAGGCTGAAGTACAGGCGTGCCATGCCACCCGGTCGGGAGTCCTTGGCAGGCGGTCGCATTGCCACAAGCACCCACCAACCACTGAATGTTTGTCACATACACACACACACACGACAGTTCGACTGTCGTGACCAACGGCGTCAACCGTATGCTCCATAGCAGGGTGAGAGCAGGCACAGTGAATTGCGCGTGAATTAGTGGTAGTAGACTTACGCTGCATCTGCCGGACTCCCTGTTCGTCCCCCTCCTGGATGCAGTATAATCGTCCAGTTAGGAAGATCGGAGGCTGGAGGGGCCGCAGGTGGCTGGCACGGCGTAAACCCGCACCTAGGCGCGGCATCACAGCCCCTGGTTCATAAGCAACACTTGGCCAGGATTTCAAACAGGGAAAATGGGGACAACAGGAATCCCAGTCGGCACGACGTGGGCCAACAACTGGGTCTACCGCCGCATCCCGAATGTTGGCATTTGTTATGGATGCGCGGGAGATGGCATCCAAAAAAATCCGTTACCTAGAAATAATACCTTTAACAGTGGACTCAAACGCCTGCAGGCTATATTACCGGTTTCAGGTCGACTTTCAGGCACTATTTGGACTTTCCCCGACGGCCTAACATGGGCTGGCCGAACGAAGATCGCAGGAGGTTACATGGATGATGGTCGCTGTTACCCAACCTTCCCCATCGTTACACACGTACACCTGAATATACGGCATACATTCGCATTATGGCAGTTTATTACAAAATACAATCACTTTTAAATAGGATAAGTCTGCACAACATGGGACAGGAACAGTTTCCAGGCATCTGTCAAAGACTGGGCATTGAGGCCAAACCCAAGACGATACTTTACTTCGTCTATGTGAGCCCACACAGCTCGACCACATACAGGGCCTCCCTCGTGGAGTTTCCTTTTCAGTCTACTCCAGTATGCCTCAATGGCATTGGTGTGCCGTCCGGTGGTAGGGTCCTTGAAGTTCTTTGAGTGGTTAACAGAGAAATGTAGATAACCTTCTGAGGGATGACGATTATACGCCTTCCACTCGTCCGTAACCACTATACTGTTTTTGGCGACCCATCTTGTAATAATGGAACGGAAATCGGGTCAACTTCGATCATTCATTTGTTCAAATAAGGCTTTCCGTCGGCTAGTATCGTACATCCCGACCAGCCACCACCCATTAAACCCCTATTACCACCTGTTCCGTAAGACAGGTTGTTTTGGTTAGGCGGATTTTTTGGGTGCCATCTCCCGATTGTTACCGGATGCGCATTCCCGATAACGCCTGCCGGACTTTAATGTAGCCCCCCGTGTTGGTCCAGCGCATTGACTGTGTGGAGAGTTTTAGGGGCACAGGCAAAACACCAACACAGAAACAGCGACTTGTGCGTGATTTCCCTTAATAATGGTAATAGGCTTGCACAGCATCTACCTCATCACTCCTCCTATCCCACCTGGGCCTGGCGTCAAGACATTGTCAAGAAAACCAGAGGTTGGAGAGGGCACAGGGGGCTGACGCCACTGGACCTGCACCTATGCATGCCATCACACCGCCTGGTCCGCAACAAACACCTAACCAGGATTGTAACCAACATAAACAAAAGCGACGGCTGACGCGACCGGAGTCGCCCCTAGGCGTGACGTCACACCCGGCTCGCTATGTGGGAATGTCATAGAGGTCGCGTGAAGAAGGAGTCACTGCAACCTGACTCTCATACACCCAGTCCACCACCCCACACTGACGCACACTGGGCTGACCGCGAGGTCAAAGTTACCCCGTCAGTTGGCAACCTTCCAAGCCACGGCTCTTAGCGCACCGTGATAGCTTCAAGCGCGTCGGATTGTTTGAAGTGAGACAAATGCGCCGAGTCGACGACCTCACTCTCCCTTCCCAGTTCCAGGCCTCAGCCACTATCCGAGCCGGTCAGCTGACAGGTGCGGGGAGTGGGATTGGTGACTGACATATCTAGTGACCTTGTCTGCTCATACCACATGTACTTTCTGGCCCCCCAAATGCGCCCATTAGGATGTCACACACGAGGGGACTAGAACGCTCCAGTCTCTCATGCAATATAGGCGCCACACGAAGAAAGGAGCTGAGAAACACATTCCCCACGTACATGAGATGTGTCGGTGGTGTGGGATTTTGGAGGGGTGTATGCGTGGTGCACGTGCAGGTTGGTGGGGTAGGTGTGATGATGCGGTCGTGTCTGCGGTGATTTACCATAGGCTCCCATGAATGCGCATGCGACCTAGTAGGCCCATGCGGTGACCAAATTTGCTAGGGCAATGCGGGCAATGGAGACGAGTGCGAAACACACTCAAAGACAGAACGAGCGGAGAGAGAGAGAGCTAGAAAGAGAGAGAGAGAGAGAGAGAGAGAGAGAGAGAGAGAGAGAGAGAGAGAGGAATACGCTTCGGTCATACTTTAGCGCCAGGTTGAGTAAGCCCAGCACCTGAATCCAGGCGTCGTTGTCGTTTAGCCACAGGTTCACAGCCCGTCGACTGTGATCGCGAATACTAAAAGCCCCATGAGAGTAGCTTTTACTGATCTGTCCTGATTGTACGACGGAATACGTGTGGCAGAATAGGAGTGTGGTGGCTCACAGAGCATTTTCCTCCTCAGGCCACAGAACACATGAACGCCAAAGCTGGCGTCAAGTTGGGTCGCTGTTACGGGCGATCGGACAGATATTGGCGGCGAGGTTTGCGCGAGCGGAGTGGTTAGGGGAACGTCGGTCGGCGGCTTTGAGCTCGCTCCCTTTGCGCACGCGCAGACAAAGGAAGAAGCGAGGCAGGGAGGGAGGGTGGGCGAGGGGGGGTGTCGGGAAGAGACAGTGAGGGGTGAACGGATGCGTTTGCCTAATAGCCCACCCAATCAGAAAGACCTTCCGTGATGTCTAAGCCAATCAAAGGGCCATTATCGGCGGCCACCCACGACACAAGTGGCGGCAAACGAGCCGCTCACGGCAGACGCCGGCAGTGTCAGGAGATTTTCAAATTCACAATTCAAGGCACCGAAAGAACTTCCGTTTTTGTTGGCGTGTGTGTGTCGGTTCGTCCGAGCGGGGAGTGATCCTCTGTTGCCTGTGCATCTAAATTCATTAGGGGAAATAAACAGGTTTTTTGGAGCGGCTAAATGCCCATTTTGCTGTCCTAGACCGAAAGCTCTTCCGTTCTTGCACTCTTGACTTGGCTGTCCTTCCTCTAAAAGCGCTATTTAACTTCAAGTCTTATCTTGTATAACCTAATCCCAAAAAGCAGATACGCTACCTATTCAGTGCCAAATTCGGTTGCCTTGCGTCGCATTTTCTTTCAATTTCCTGACCATTTATCAGTAGATATCATTTCCTACCGTCCTGAAATCTCGTCCGGCCTGGTGTTTGAAATCTGCCTTTTCATTTTGATTCGTTTAGTAAAAGGTTTGTTGATCGCTAACCAATATTACCAAGTTCCTAGAATGAACGCCCTCCGCGGACAACTCGACCGGGGAAAAAACTTGATTTAAAAAGCACACTTAAAAGATTCCGCTTGGAAAGCTGGAGGATATGAATCGGAAAGGGATTTCGTCAATTGCGTTTTTACTAGTGCGATTCATAAGCATCCCATGGAATCCGAGTCCACAGCTGATCAGAACTTCGACTTTGCTTTATGCACTCAAGTCCAACGTCTCGAGGTCCTCAAATACTTGATACCCCCGCGAAGCTCTCTCTATCTCTCCACATTCCTAAGGAGGAATTCTGGAAAGTACTGAAATTGTGTTATGCCAATATGAACTTTTACCGCAAGAACTCTTTGAGAGCGAATCTTAAGTAAGAATTAAATGCATCAGCCGAAGCTTAAAAAGGGCGTTTATGGGCTTCCATATAAGCTGAGTAAAGAAAAAGCGGCAGCAAAATACGGTGGTATGAAAAGGCATAATGCTTCGAGAAACAAAAAACCATTTCGGCATTTTAGAATTTTATCTGGTAAGTTCCAACCGCCGCTATGTACCTCTAACAGGATTTCGTTATGCCCACTGCTCGAGAAGGGTTAATGACAAAAAATGAGGTTGCCATGACCATTTACAGTGAGTGACCGATCTCACGAAATGTTGACTGAAATTCTGAAATGCGTTTTAGATTAGAAGGGATTACTTAGGCGCAATTGTAATACTGATTAACTTGCAGCATAATCCTTTAATATTTCGGAGTTGGCAGGGTGTCGGCTATTGAATGCACTGCTTCTAAATCTCCAGAGGAAACCGTACTCGCTAAAAAAGATGACTACTTAAGTAGCATGGATGTTCCCATTGGTTTTCGACGGTCTTTCGAATTCAAATATACCTTGTAGAAAACATAGACAAAACTAGGCTTTCTTGCGGTCACTTGATAGAGAATTTCATCATCTCTTTGGTTCGTGCGCGAAGAAGGAGCATAATTAGGTTTTAAACATTTTTTTCTAATTGCCGAATAATTTGGGGCCTGATCAGTCGTTATATTTGCGCTTAGTAATTTCAGTTTACAAGGGGCATGCGTTCCGCGTGAGGAAAATCATATATTCCTCTATGCCTTTAAAGAGATGCCATATTGAGTCCATAAAATTTTGCAATGGATGCGGACCATGTTGCACATTTTATGAGGAGCAATGATAAACGCACAGATACGATGCTAGATGAATAGACATTGCGCGGCCTTGAAAAAACTCATAAGTGGAAATTTTTTCAAAACCTAATAACAGTTCTTCTTCGAGTATAAAATATAAAGATGACGCAATTCTCGATCAAGCGACTGAAATAAAGCCTGTTTTGTTTATGTTTTCTATAAGGTGTATTTGAATTTGCAAGCTCATCGAAAAGAAATGGGAAAATGCATGCTACTTAGATAATAATTTTGTGCCGAGTACGGTTTTGTCGGGGGATTTAAAAGCGGTGTATTCAAAAGACGACACCCTGCCAACTCCGAAATATTATAGGATTATGCCGTTAGTTAACCAGTAGTACAATTGCACCTAAGTAAACCTTCTTAATCGAAAACGCATTTCAAAATTTCGGCCAACATTTCATGAGATCGGTCACTCACTGTACGTGTTGTGTTTTGCTCCGATCGCCGAAGTCTTGTTGTCTGCAGTTGGCCCAGTGTACAATGCAAAGCTCCTTTTCTGCTTTGCATGATATCCGAAGTCAGTGTCACCGTTACAGCCACCAACCTAGCCACAAGATTTTCAACCTCAGGCAGAGGCAGTAAACTGAAGTGCGGCAGTTACTGCGTCTCATGGTTGACGCATACGGCTGTACAAGTAACTTACAGCAGATATACTATCTCACGAAATGTTGATCGGCAGTTCGAAACATGTTTCCGATTCAAAATTCACCTAAGCAGTATTCGCAGACTGACAAAAATACACTTAACCGTCACAACCCCATTTTACGTCAACACTCTAAGCGGTAATGTGGCAAAAAAACTACGTTGGATGTGATCTGCCATCCACCAACGTGGAATTTCAGTTAGAAAACCTCATCGCTTGAATTCCTCTAATTCCAGTTAGAAAACCTCATCTCTTGAATTCCTCTAACTCGTCTAATAATTGATTATGTTTACACACAGAAGCGCTCAGTTGAAATCCCACAGAACATCTGGCCTTCACTTTTGTGCAAATAGCCTGTAAATTACTTTCGTCGCCATGCGGACTGTCCCGCCCACTTTCAATCGATTTCTGGAGATCACATTGTGTCGTCAAGTATGTAGTTTTTAGTGAGGCAGGATATGATTTGACAGCTTATAATTCGACGCTAAGATTACATTTTGACAGTCCTTTGTTTTTTTTAGACAGCTCTCATGTATATTTTTCTTTCTAAGTCATTTTGCGCTTCAAAAAGTGTTCAAAATGTTTTTTACATTTTTGGTTAAACAGAGAAAAGTCGGAAATTCGTACAGTTATGAAATATGAATTCCTACGCAAAATACAGCATCGCAGACAGCTCGGAATGTTAATGGTGTATTTTGGACTAACAGAACTACATCACAGACAGAACAAAATTAATTTGCGAAATTCCGTACTAATAACTTTGACCTCGCGAATGAGCCATGCAGTCGGCCAAACTCAAGAGTGGATAACGACGAACTGAAGGCCAGCATCAAGTCAGATCCATCAGAAAGAGCACATGAACTATCGTTGATGTTTGGTGTTAGGAGCCAAACAACATTAATTCACTTAACTGAAGTCGGCAAAGCGAATAATTTGGCTATTTGAGCTCTGCATGAACCGCATGAAAAGCTGATACAACAGGACAGGCAGGAGGACATTCGCTAACCTATATCGTCGAAAGGAGTCGGTGCTGCCGAGGGATCCACACTAATTCATTGTGCTGCACTCTCCACACGTAATTTTTTAGTAGGGGGAAGATTCATTTTTTCGAAAAAAATGGACGGCGTGGAGAGCAGTCAGGTAGTAAAAAAATGTCCGAAATATTGTTAAATGAAATATATACCTCTGGCAGTAAAGCAGGAGTGTTAAAACGCTGGTGAATCTGTTAAACAGCAGTTAGCATTTTCTTACCCCGCGCATATATTTGATCCTTGTCCACAATCCTAACTCTAGTCTTCACCTAAACCCTAAGCACCCTGGAATTTGGCACAAGACCACCTGTATTACGGGGACGTTGCGGCAGTTTGAGCCGCTACGACCTTCAGGCCCTGCCCCGAACGCGAAGAGAAGGTGCTGGACGCTAGCTGAGAGGATGCTTTATTTTGTACAAAAAGAGCGGAAAACCGCTTGGAATAAGTTGTCAGTGGGGCAAGAGGACAGGTTCCGGTGCCGTGAGAGCGGTTCCCGAATGACAGTTGGGAGTGCATCATAGCGCCTTTAGCTAGAGCACCTCTGATTCGTCCTTGAAGATGAGATCGGTCACTCACTGTATATTTTGCTTGCTGTATTCAGTCGGCCACACCAGAACATCGTGAAGTTTGATCCGGACCTTGGCTATTGAATATTGAGTCGAAATTCTGCAAATGAGCAAGTGGGTCGCCAAACTGAGAAGGGACTAATGATACTCAAAGTCAAGGGGCAACAGCGTTAAATACTGTATTCTGTTGGTACCCCTCATCGATATATGAGAGTTCGACCGTTCATTTCGACAATGTCCACCGTGTGCTCAACAGCAGAGGGAGAGCAGGGACGGTGACTTGTGCGTGATTTTGTTTGTAGTGATAGAAGACTTGTACGGCATCTACCACACTCTCTCTTCAACCACCACCTGAGCCCGGTGTCAAGACAGAGTCAAGGGCACCAAAGATGGGGGAGGCTGCAGGTTGATGCCTTGGACGGATCCGCACCTTGGCGCACCACTCCGAACACCCTGGTCCACACAACGATGACCAGAATTTTGGCCAACAACAACAGAGATTGGAGGTTGGCGCGGCCGAAACCGCACCTAGGCGTGACGCCAACACCCGGCTCAGATCCCACTCAGTGGGAGTACCATAAAGACCACACTAAGAAGGAGCTATTGAAGCCTGACTCTCAGACCACCAGCCGGTCACTCCACACCAGCACACACAACACTGGGCCGACTGCGATGTCCAAGTTATCCCGTCAGTTGGCAACCTTCCAAGCCACGGCTTTTAGTGCACTGTGATAGTTTCGAGCGCGTCAGATTGTTTATAGTGAGAAAAATACGCCGAACTGTCGACCTCACTCTCCCTTCTCATTTCCACATCTCAGCCCCTGTCCGAGCCGGTCAGCTGGCTGCAGGGGGAATAGGTCCGGTGGCTGACATGGTCGAGTGACCTTGTCTGCGCGCGCCACATACAGGACCTGGACCCATACAAACACACCAGGATTTCACACAACGCGGGTTGAGCAGCGTATCTCTCACCAGCGTGAGAGTGCCGTGGAAGGAGCTGTTTCCACCCGGCTCTCAGCCCACCACTCCACATAATCACACAACTGGACGGATTTCGTGGACTGATTTGGGGCGTCAACCAGCAGCCTTCCTATCTACGACGCTTGACGCGTCGGGATAGTCTTAGGCTCGAGTCACCCATGCAACAGGAGCTGCATGGAGATCGAGTCGAGACGCACACTTCCGAATTGCGCGGGAGATGGTGGGTGGGTGCTTGCGGCAGGTGGTGTTGATGTTTGGTGGGATGGTGGTGAGGGAGGGTGTTGTGGTGTGGTGCAGCCGACGGTTGTCTACCGCAAGCTCTCGTGACTGAATAGACCCCTGCGGCTCATGAATGTGCGAGGGCAATGCGGATAGTGAAGGTGAGTGCAGTGGGTGGAGGTTGGTACTCCGGTCACTGGTTCGTCAGTCTCTGTGAGTTGGATTCGCAAGTGACCGACCAGGCCGATGTGTGAGGTGAGGGTGCGGTCGCAGTGAGGACAGGTTTAGTCCTGATCCTCACCACTGGTGTCGATTGTGGCGGAGTTTGTGTTTGTTGGTGTGTTAGGTTTGTGTGTGTGGTGTTTATGCGCGTTGCAGGCGCCACAACGGCAGTCGTTGGAGTAGAAAAGGATGATGATGATGATGATGATGATGATGATGATGATGATGATGATGATGATGATGATGATGATGATGATGATGATGATGATGATGATGATGATGATGATGATGATGATGATGACGATGGGAGTGGGGGTTCAGAAGAACAGTCAGAGTTACCTGGCAGCGGAAAGGACTAGGGAGAGGCGGATGGAGGGACGACGGTTGGTGCGGTTCGAGTGGTGCAGTTGGTCCAAAGGTGCCCAACAATTCCGATTCGTGGCCCGAATATCCGTTGACACCGTGGAGACGTTGGAGGCTGTTGTGCGTTGACATTGCGAGGTGGGCCCAGCTGTGATTTGCGTGCCTCATGTTTGGCTTTGGTGGCGGCGATGCGGTTGACTTCATAGATCGGGCGAGGTCTTCCCAGTTGATCGGATTGATTCGCGGAGGCTTCAAGGAAGAATTCAGAGTATCCTTGTGTCGACGAATTGGTCCTCTTTGGCAGCGGGAACCCGTGGCGACGTCTCCATAGAAGAGTCGTTTGGGTAGCCGCTCGTCGTCCATGCGCACTAGGTGGCCGCTCCAACGCAGCTTCAGTTGTCTCAGCATGCTGGAGACTCTGAGGATTCCCGTCCGCTCCAGTACGTCGGTGTCGGAGATTTGATCCTGCTAGCTCAGCCTCAGGATGCAACAAAGAAAGCTGAGGTGGAAGTGGTTGAGTCGGTGTGCCTGTTTCGTGTGTCCAAGTCTCAGCTCCGTATGGCAGCGTCGGGAGGATGAACATCTTGAGCTTCGTGCTGCGCTGGAGACCATGACGATTCGAAACTGTACTTTGAAGGCGACCGAAGGCTTGACTGTCTTTCAAAATTCGGCGAGCGACTATATCATCGATTTTGGTGCTGCGGCAGTAGGTACCGCCCATGTATGGGAAGTTGTCCGCCACTGGCAGTTGGGTTCCTTTCGCCCTGATCTGTGGCGCATTGTGGGGAGGGGTCGTGTTCGGTGGCGGATGATGCATGACCGCCGTTTTCTCCGTGCTGATGACCAGTCCGAAGTTCTCGCAGGCGGCGGAGGAGAGGTCCATGCACCTTTGTACGTCCGCTTCCAAGGTGTTGTGGACACAGTCGTCGGCGAAGAGAAGTTCGTGAATTTGGTTGTGGATACGCGTGATTGGAAGTTCATTAGGCATTGATTCAGGAGGTGACCGTCCGTCCTGTAGGCGATGTGGATGCGGGGACGTTCGTCACGGTAGGCGTCTATCAGCATGGCAGACAACATAAGACTGAAGAGGGTAGGCGCCAGGGCGCATCCCTGCTTCACTCCGTCAGTCACTGTGAATGCCTCTGAGACAGCTCCGTTGTCCGCGACGCGCGCTATCATGTCGTCGTGCAGTTGACGCACCATCTGGACGAATCGCTCGGGACAGCCGAACTTCTGCATGATCTTCCACAGTCCTTCACGATTCACCGTGTCGAGGGCATTCTTCAGATCCAAGAAGGTAGAGTGCAGGTGGATCCGCATCTCCTGGCATTTCTCCTGAAGCTGACGGGCGGCGAAGATCATATATGTGGTCCCGCGATGACGGCAGAAGCTGCACTGGCTTTCCGGCAGACCCTGTTCTAGGTGATTATTTAGGCGGTTGAGCAGGATGCGAGCGAAGATCTCCCGGCGATATTCAGCAAGGAGCTGTCTCGGTGATTGTCGCAGTGCTGGCGGTTTTTTTTTTCGCTTGTATAGGAGCACGATTGTTGCGTCTGTGAAATCCTGCAGGACTTCCCCCTGACGTCACATCTCCTGGAAGAGCGCAATCAGGTGATCCATTAGTTGGGAACCTCCGTGCTTGTAGACCTCAGCAGGGATCGCGTCTGATCCGGGTGCCTTCCTACTGAGGAGCTGCTGCACGGCCCGGATGGTTTCATGGAGAGATTGCGGGAGGTCGAGGTCCACGTTGGTCTCCACTTGCGACAAACAGTCGATGGCGACGTCGGAGATGACGGAGGGGCGGTTGGGGACGCCTTGGAAGTGCTCAGCCTATCGCTGTAGAATTTTTGTCTTCTCAGTCAGGAGAGTGCTGCCATCGGTGCTGACGAGAGGAGCAGTGCCTTCGGTCGGCGGACCGTAGACAGCTTTGGCCGCGGAGAAGAAGCTATTCCATTCGTTGCGGTCCGCATACCTTTGGATCTCGTCAGCCTTGCGAGCCGTCCTGGCGTCCTGCATCTCGCGCATTCGCTGTTTTAGGAGGCGGCGACTGCGGTTGAAAGCAGCTTTGTTGTTGTCAGTGGGGTGGTCTACGTAGGCTTTGTGTGGGCAGTTCTTCTCGGCAAGCAGATTTCAGATGACGGCGTCGTTGTCGTCGAACCGGTCCTGATGTTGGCGGCGTGCGCGACCAAGGACGGCCAGCGCCGTCGACTGGACCGTGTCCCGCAGTTTACACCAGCGGTTCTCCACGGAGGCGTTCTCAGCAGCAGCAGAAGCGGCGGCAACGACTGGAAGGCTGCCTAGCCGTTGAGCTAGCACATTGCTGAAATGGAGAGGGTGAACGGGCAAAGACAACAAGGCAACATTCAGCTTACCTGTGGGTCGCTTACCTTGTGGTCTCCTGCGGGTCTGTAGGCGAATACGCATCTTCGAGATGACGAGACAATGGTCGGTCCACCCGTCAGCACCCGCGATCGCCTTTGTCACCAGCACGTCCCGCCGATCTCGCCCCCGGACGAGGACGTAGTCCAGCAGGTGCCACTGACGTGACCGAGGATGCCTCCAGGTGGCCTTCTCTCGCTCCGACAGACAGAAGATGTTCGTCTAGATGAGTCGGTGTTCTGCGCAGGTGCGTGGAAGGAGCAGACCATCGTCGTTGAAACCGCGGAGACCATGGGGACCCAGCACTCCTCTCCAGGCAGCATGGTCTGTTCGACGCGAGCGTTGAAGTCACTAAAGACAATCAACTTGTCCACCGTCGACATAGTCTTCTAGAGGGCGTGCAGATCCTCGTAGAATTTGTCTCTTGCAGCGGCGTCGGGTCTGCTCATCGGCGGAGCGTAGGCGCTGATGATGGTGGCGAATCAACCTCCCCGGAGAGGCAGGCGGAGGCTCATCAGGCGATTTTTGATGCCTTGCGGCGGACAGGGTAGTCGTCCCACGATGTCGTTCCGGATGGCGAAGGCGACCCCGCGTCTTATCGCTCTGCCCTGGGCCGACCACTCCAGAAGAAGGTGTAGCCGGCACCTACCTCCCCCAGTTGGCCTTGTTCGGAGGATCAGGTCTCTCTGAGTGCTGCGATGTCCACCTTGTAGCGCGCCAGTTGCCGAACCACTAGTGCTTTCCTACGTTCCGGTCGGTGGCTCTTCGGATTGTCTAGAAGGGAACGAACATTCCAGGCTGCCAGAGTGAGCGGGCTCACCCTGCCAGTCTGGGGACAACGAGTGTGGCGACGGGAAGGAGCTGGAGAAGAAGACGCCGAAGGAGAAGAATAGACAGAAGAATAGGCAGAGGAGGAGGTAGGATGAGGAGAATGAGTATGGTTGTTGTTGTTATTGGTATTGTTGTTGTTTCGATTTTGAGTATTTCGACCATGATTAGACGTCTGCGGCCCTGGCTAGCCTGGAGACGGCGTGGTACCCAGCATTTTTAGGCCACCTTTTCTAGACCCTTCCCCTCGTGGGGGCAGGCAGTGCCGCCCCTGAATCGGGCTGCCCATGTGCCTGGTTGGCGCGACCGAATCCCACTATGGGGCCACGACTTTTATGTTTGTAGTGGAGAACGACCGCATATGCCGTGAGTCCGCGGTCTCCGTCGGCGAGGGTGGCCGCGTCTCAGCGAAGGCGATGCGGAGACCCGTCCCGGCAGCAGTTTTCCAACGGCGTACCAGGCAGAGCCTCGTCTCGACGATGCCGGCGCAGTTTTTCATCCGACCATCCATCCAGCGGAGTCCGCAGTACACTGTGCATGCGGCACAAGCGCACAGCGCCCTCACCTGGTTTAGCCCGCCGGTCGAGTCGGTTACCGGGGTGCGGCCGCCGGGCAGAGCCCAGCTTGAGGGCGCCACTTGTGACAGTTGGTGGCCAGCAAATGGACGCTAGGCGAGTCTGCACCTGCTAGTCAGTGAGCGACCTACTACGACCATCATCTGAACCCACCGCTGGTCATCTCTACAACCCCATCTATATATACATATATACTAAACGGCGTTCCGACAAAAACAAGGGCGACTCAAATGCTCATTTTGGATTTTTTAACCATCATTAGCCAGCCCTTCCCAACTCTTGGTTTAGAGCACCCCGGATTCGAGCCCAGGAACATTGACTACTGAGATACGGACCAGTTGTCCTGTTGGTTGCAGTCGGGAATATTAACTGCTCTGAAATCGCGTTCACCGATCGGGTTACAAGGCATGCTCTTTCCGTTGTGACTTGAGCCTCAATTCAATAAAAAAGGACTACTCAAATAGTACGCGTTTTCCACCTTGGTTTCCAATAGCTTATAAATTTAAATATATTTTATAGAAAACTTGCACAAAAATATGCTTTCTATCATTTGTTTGGTAGCAAATTGCATCATATTCACATTTAGTACTCGACTAAAGGGTATATTTGGGCTTCAAAAAAGGTTTTATAATTCCCGTCGGTCGTTGCATTAGCGTTTAGCGATTTCAGTCCACGACGTGTATGCTTTTAAGTAAAAAACCATACATTCCTCTATACCTTTAAGAAGATGCCACGTAGTGTTCGCAAAATTTAGCAATGAATGCAGACTCTGTTGTGAACTTTGTGAGGAGCGCTAATAAACGGACAGGTACGATTTTGCAGGAAAGGGCATTGCGTGGTCTTAAAAATCTCCTGATTAAAAACCTTTTTGAATCCGTAAGGTACTCTTCCTTCGATTGTAAACTGCAAAGATGATGTGACTTGCTATTACATAAATGACAGAAAGCATATTTTGTACATGTCTTCTATAAAATATATTAAAATCCATAAAGCCAAAATCAATGTGGAAAGTGCATACAACTTGAGTAGTCATTTTCTACCGAAGTCAGTTTTTGCTTGAGGCCCATAAAAGTACACTCTAAAGCCAACATTATGGCGAATCCTTAATACCATGGGATTATGCCGCGGGCTGTTTTATATTACAACCCCACCTAAGTAATCCTCTGTAATTGAAAGCACACTTTAGAATTGTAATGGATTGGTGGGAGAGCCCCGTACCCTCTGATTCGCGGTCGAGGTATGATCGGTTGAGAAAGGCGGCTAAGCCAGAAATGGCCAGTCCGGCCTCCCTGATCTTCATCTGTGGTAATTCTCGATCCTTTATTTTTGCTGCTATATGACCGCCTGCATGGTCTTCAGACCGAACGGAACCGTCCATGCATCTTTTACCTGCACTCGTGGTAGACCGGTGAGCATTATCCCCATACGAACTTGAATCCTCATTACCACAGAGACACAAAGTGCAATTCACTTGGAAAAAAGTGAGTATAATTCTGAGCGGCCCTTAGGCATAAAATCGGGTTTTAGTTCCAGCGACTTTGGCTTCCCTAGAAACGGATTCTGAGCCGCTTGTTCGGCGTTTTTAAAACTGGCAGGCTGAAAACACTGTGAACTCAAGTGGAAAAAATGGAGATCGTCGTTTATTAGGTATTGTATGCATCATATAGCAAATTTTATTAAGGTTTTTTTGAAAAGTCCCCATTCGTGCAGGTGTGTGGCATGCATTTCATTATTGACGAAGATAGTCTTCCTTTTCTCAGTGAGTTTGTGATATAATGTGATTAACCAACCGCAGTTTGTACTTGCTGACTGGCAGGTTCGCAATTATGACATTATCCATCCGAGTGTACGTTATGCGTAGAACTCCTGAAACAGGAAGAAAACACTGTAAATGCGTTTTTCTATGATAAAGGCAATTTTGGAGGGATCATGGCTTCTTCACCCACTCTCACACTAATCCATGAACTGTAGTTAGTTGTCCTCGGATTGCCAAATTTCTCAACCGCCTGTTGGTATCTCGATTACTAAAATTGCGCATGTAAGGCTATCAGTCGTTTCTGTTGCCTAGAAAAATGCCATAACTCATCATCCTATCCAGCGACTAGCTTCTGCACGTATTCAGAAACATAAACGGATAGCAAGACTATTCTAGCGGTCGCCCAGTCTCCATCTGAGTACCTTTTGTGAATTAGTGTACATGCTTATTTGCACGAAGAGATGCAGTACGCTAAGGATGGACCCATGTCCTGAGAGCCCGGTATTTGTATTCTTCCTTAACGTTTTGGCCTCCAAACTGTGAAAGTGACGACTTGTGTGCTTTGAAATAAGGAAAGGGAGGTGAAAACAAAGTCAAGAATTAGCAAACCCTGTCTTCGAACATGTTCGCTGTGAACTGCAGTTACTTCGCGGGTCTAATTAAAGTCCTATCAGGAAGGGCATGCCCTTCGTGCTCTTAAGACCTGCTGAGAAAATGTCCCAATTAACAGTGGCAGCTATTCTGTGGACGGCAACTGTTTACCACATTAAGAACGCACACGCACAAATAGTGAACACTTTCTGGGTTATATAAACAAACTGTCCACATGCTGCCGGTCCCTATACAACGAGGTTGCCAAGCCCCTTCACCTGACTACCTCCCTAGCAGGGTTGTACAGTACTCAAAACCTCATGCACTCCCCCCTCCCACTTCCATCTCAGATCCTCATGTCCCGTGAATAGGCATTGTAAGCCCTATCCTGTTCCTTCTACCTCCACCAGTATACAACATACGTTCATTCCAAACTGGCCTAATTTAACCTAAACGGGATTTTTCGCAAACCTTGGGAGCCCCTGTCATGGTCTGAGGTTGGACACGGAACATGAACCCCCTCCGCATTACAGATGGCCTTGCGCTTAATTCATGGGGTTCAGGAGGGTTACAATTAAAGTTACGGTAGTGCGGCTTAGTGTGTAAGTTAGGGATAGGGTCAAAATAAGGACATGGTAATAGGTGTACCCTGAAAGTTAGCACATGCTCACGTGTAGTATGTGGGATCCTTATTTTCTTATCCACCCATGAAATGATAAGTAAAATCACGATGCAACTCCCCCGCGCACTTGCGCTCTCACCCCGCCCCTGACAATGACTAATATTACCCCCACCCCCTCCCCCACAGTCCCCCACCCCGCCTTTGTTTAAGGAGTACTTTTATCGACTTCTCTTATCGCTTGCATGTTTTACTTCTACCCCGTTCCTATATAACTGTACTGGCCCGACGAGAATTTATCGAAAGCTACGTATGCTCGCCACCTCGTCTTCTGATTACTGCTATGGGAATTTTCGAAACTCTAAAATCAATTTGTTACAATGGACCACGCAGGAGGTAGTCTCACACAACAAGGAAACATCCGGTGGTGCATGTTTTCTGGATTCTTGACTTTCCTACGCCTGTAGTCCATTGCAATGAAGTTTCTGCTAAGCGTTCATTTGTTTATCTCTCCCATCCCTCCCTCCCCATCTCTCTCTCTCAATTTGCTTCCGCTTCGCTTCTGACAGCAATGGCGCCCATCTGCACCTCCATCAGGTCAGCTGCCCAATTCACGCGACGGCAACAGTACGAAGAGTAATGGCTATGTGTACGTCCACCGGCACACCAAACTCACTCCGAGGCAGCTGTCCGCGGTGGACACCTGCCGGCCAATTATCAACGAGCGCCAGGTGCCTGGGCAGGGGGCGGGAGGTGAAACGAAGGCGGGTGCACAAGGCGACGATAACACTATCTAATCTCGCAGGTGCTGTTTGCTGGTGCCAACTGTGGGACGCAACGGAGGTGGATGAGGTTGTACGGGCAACTGGCGACAACGACGGAATGCTGCTGGTCAGAATGCAGGAGCGAGAGAGAGAGGGAGAGTTTAGGATATGCAGCGACAACATTCCGCCTCTCTTGCGTCTGGTGTGGCCACGATGTGATTATCGTGTACATGCACGTAAGGCTTATCTGTTCGCAGCACCTACCTTCCGGTTCGGATCAGATAAGGCTTTTTCACTAACTGATGCAGCCTGACGCCATCCACCAGACTAATTATGTTATGACTGTAATGACCATGGGGCTCATGATGATGAGGATGGTGGTGGT